AATAATTTTGCTTTCCGATGGAAATGCTACGAACTTTTCCCCGTCGCGCTGTACTTGGAGATTCCATAAGATCTGTACAGGCTGCCATGATGGTTTGCGCACTTAATTTACGTCGATCAAATCTGGAACAAAAATCGGACTCGGGAATTCTTACATTAGCCAACGAAGAAGAAATGACCATAGCGCGTCTTTGGCTAGAACACTTTCCTAAATTAGATACATGCCTCATAACTAATGTTGGTAGTGCTGATGTAACATTGGATACCCAAAATGTAGAGTCCAGTGATGATGAATTACCAGTGGATCCAATGCCTGTAACACAATTGAAGCAACATTTGGGTTTAGAACGAGTAGCAGATGCTGATCCGATAGATTTTATGGATTCGGAACGAAAGTTAATTATTGTAGCAAACCGCGGTTCGGGTAAAACGGCTGTAATATCGTCTCTCATTCACAATGTTCGTAATTACTATGATTTTATATGGTGGTTTGATTGCAGCGATTCTCTCTATGGTGCAATGATCCATTTAGCTCAGACATTTCATGTTTCTTCTGTTGGACTGCCTTTAGATCTATTACAAAAAACAGTATTGACGACTGTTTTATCATCCACGAAAATTAACAATTTTCTACTTATAATTGACAATGTGCAAGAGGATAGATGCACCACAGTGAAAGCAAAGTCAGCTATTGATGATCAAGAACGTACACTTGAATGTCACGCTATCATTGACGTCCTCAACAACGCTATCAGTGATCCGAGTGTACGCCATCAGCGACGTCGCCATATCTTAGCATTATATACAGACAATAGCGCTAATCAATTACCATCACTGGAAACAACTGCACCGAGAGCAAATGCATCTGCCAATGAGTGGCTATTTTTACCTTTAAGTGATATTGTAGGGCAGACAGCAATGAATTGGGCTTGTTCGAAATTACCGACATCTCTTAATGAACATAAAAAAAAAGATCGTTTTGATCTCATTAAGAAAATTCAGTCCCTTGACACACGACGCTTAACCATGCATTTAACAGCTATTCTTGTAAGTCTCGACAATTTAGACGTAAAAGAAATCGGTAATGAACTCAATAAATCCAATACTGACGTATTGTCATATTTAGTGGAACTGTTATTAAAAGAATTACAAAAGTTGGATTCAGAACCTCATCAAGTCGCTCAAATTGCCAGTTTGATTAAAACTAATAGTATTAGTCAAGCAGTATTTTTCCGTCTTCTTGAAATTCTTCCTAAGACATCTACTATTAGTGATCTGAAACCGTCTCCAAAATGGGCCTTAATGTATTCAAAATTAAAAAAATTTAATATATTAAAGAAAAATATAATATCATCAATGACTTATAAACATGTAAGTGAATGCTACATTAAACCAGAATTTTTGGAAATCTACAGTATGCCGAGTACTTACGCTAGAGCATTGCGTTCGTCTATTCTCGCCGATACAAACTCTTCAGTATGGAGAAGTGCGTTGGAATTAATCAATCAAGGCTTCAACTACGATTACCACGCAGTTGAAAAGAATCCGGATATGCAGAATATCGTGCATTTTTTCGATCATGCCCATGTGTTGACCATGCATGCTGCTAATTGGAATGGAGATGAGAAGCATGCAAGATTGCTTGCTGATTTACTATGGCGTTTAGGTTCATACTATCTCAATGAGCGACGCTTGTATAAAGAAGCCTCTGACTGTTTTAGAAAAGCATACGAAATACTTAACGCGAATGAGAATCAAGAACCATCATTAGAAAAGGCTACAAAATGGAGTGCAGAAATGTACAGGCATATTTGTGAGCAACTTAGCCGTAAATTGAATAAAGAAAAAGATGAATCAAGCATCACTGAAATTGAAAATTGCCAAAAGAATTTAAAAGAATTGACCGATCAGAATGGGCAGATTAATAAGGAGCTTTTGCAAAAATATTATATTGAAGCTGATATCGCTATTGCACGCATTCGTGTGGAACATATTCGAATCAATGCTACGATTACAGAAGAGGGTAAAAATATTCTCTGTGACATCATTAAAACATTTAATAAAATGAAGGAAGAACAGAATATGGGTACTCGTACACGTTCCTTGATGCTGCAAATTTTTGGAAGTGCCCACTGTCTGTTGGGTGGCCATTCTAAAGCTGTGGAATATGTCAGAGCGGCACTGGAAAAACGGAAACAAGTGTTACCTTTGCAGCATTTAGATGTCGCACGAACGGAATACAAATTGGCTGATTGCCTTTTCCAAAACGCGAATACCATGAAAAATGATAACAGCATGACCAACAATGCCAGCAATTTTGCTAAAATATTAGATGAGGCAAGAAGTCTCTGTAAGAAAGCTCTCAACAAGCAACTGGCACAATTGCCTAGTGGCCACAACAACTTGGAAGATTGTAAAGCGCTGCAAGCGAAGTTAAATAAATTAGAAACTGAAACTTATATGATTACAGGTTGATAACTATTTTATCAGCCAGCGTCTACTTGACTCAACTTCAATGACATTACCATTAGACACAACCATTCAAGGAAAAATGAAACAAATATTGATGCATATAACTGTGGATGTTCGCCTAGAAAACACCCACATCCTTGTTCAAGAGATATGCACGAACATAGTAGATTTTGAGTTCGTGTGAAATGTAAAGTGGATGAAGTTTCCCACCAAAATACAATTGTTCCATTAATTATTGTTGGATTTTCTTTCGAACCTTGAAAAAATGCTTCAAAAACCATTTTTTGAAGTGTAAAGTTTGTACTGTGATAATACGTTTCCATCACTATATTCGTTCTTTCTTATACTTTCTTTTCAAG